ACACAAACATAAACAATGCCCAATAAAGTATAGGATGCTAATTTCTTAGAATTTTATTATGAATGTGATATTATTTGCCAGATAACTCATGTATTTTGAGATAAATGTTAAATAAATGAAAGTTGATGTGTCATGCAGAGCTCTATTTCTTGGCAAGAAAGCTGATGGGGTAAAGACGGCCACAGTTGCTTTGAACTCTCCCCATTGAGAAGTGGAGTTTATCTTCCCACAGCCTGAATTTAGCCTGGCCCTGTGAATGCTTTAAGCCACAGATGATGGCAGAACGGTGCTGTGCCCATTGTCAGCCCAGTCTCTTAGAGGACTGATGAGAGCTTTTGCTTCTGCTCTCTGGGGACAATCACTCCTAGGACTCTGCCTCTCAGACCCTGCTGCTGTGCTGTGAAAATCCCAGGCCATACATACAAGCAGCCACGTATAGATGCCATACCCACCGGCAGCTATGGGACTGAGCTGTCATGGAGGCCTCCACCCGGTGAACCTCCCAATGACTGTGGTCCAGGTGACATCGCAAGACTAGGGCCCAAGTGACCGTGGTCCACACACAGAACTCTGGGGGAATAATAAAACGGTTGCCTTAAACTATTAAGTGTTGTCTGGTTTGTCATGCAGCAATATATGTTAAATATACATAAAATTTGGGAAGACAGTGCTTGAATTGATCACTTTATTAAGATCTGTTAGGTACATTAATCAACAACTGCTACAGACCCTGAAGTAAGCATTTCGCATTAAGTGATTGGACCCAACCAGTTTGATGGAAAATTTGGTCTCCCACCTTATTTTTGATCCAGAGCTCAAGGGATTATTAACTTTCTTTTCCATTACACTCCTTCACTCAGCAAGCACTGTGTTGAGCGAAGGAGATCATTAGGTTATATACAAAGAAGGTTCCCGGGGTTTGAAATTTAGATTGCTGACTTTCCTACTTGAGTTCCCTTCCTGCCCAAGACCGTAATTCCAGGAATTCCCCAGCATCATCCCAGGAGTCTAAACAGTCTTTCAAACAGCTGCTAAATGTCGATGGTCTCATGAGTCCTCAAAGGAATTTTCCTGTGGGTGGAGGAAGCCACCCTTATGGCTCTCAATCAAATGTCGAAAGTGCGCCCACAACAATGACTGGAACAGAGTGGAATCTTCGGAACTGCGATGCAGATCAAGCGTCTCCTCTTCCATAAACAGTGACTTGCTACAGAAAAACTCTATGGCCTTCTTTTCTGGTTAGTAAAAAGATGATTGTTGATACGTGACAAAAGCCAAATAAGCTCTAATAGCCAAAAAGTTGCTCCAGTCTCCTGCTTTCCCTGTCCCACGTTTCCCCTGGCACTGACTTCCTGAGGCAGTCGCACAGGCTGGATGGCAGGGCTCACCTGCCACATGATGGAGGGACACGCAGCCAGGTGAAGGCGACTGCTCCATCGGCACCCATCGGCACACTGCGCAATCTCCCCCTCCTTCACTGTGCTTAGCACGAGATGGGGGACACTGAGCACTCACAGCCACTCAGTGCCACACCAGGTCCCCAGTGCAGGCTGGGCAAGGATCCAGAACCTTCGTGAGCCCCCTTGAAGCTGAGGCCTGGAACGGCTGCTGTGTGCCCGGGTTCTCCTCAGGGTCTTCTTCCAGGTCAGGGTTCATGAGAACATTTTCCCAGTCTGAGCTGAAACCAAAAGGTTAGCAGAATATTCTGGGTGGGGGAAGGCACCAGAGAGGCCTCTGTGCACAGCCAGCATTTGCATACTCGTTAATGGAGAAGGAGAGTTCATCTCTGATGCCACGAGGGTCTGGCCATCAAGAACAGAAGGAAACGCAATGCGCCCCTCTAGCCCGATCAGAGACAAACACAGAGGAGCCTCTCCATGCCTGTCTCCTGACTCGATGGCTTTTTTCCTTCTATTGACTGCTTTTGTTTCATTTTCATTAGATTTTTGAAATTCTATGTTTTGAGCAGTTCTGTCCAATTTGGTGGCTTCACACACAGTGGGGAGGTTAGCTGAGTGGTCTTGCTTT